AAAGAAGACGCGGCACCGCTGAACACTCACGCTGTTTGTGAAATTGCGTCTGGCAGATAGTTCTTAAAAGAATGATTTGATTTTATAATCTGTGTGGATTACGATTGCGGGAATTTCCCGCATTATAAATGGGAGACCTGCGGGAACGATTAGAATTATGCGCAATACCCGCGCCGAAATTCGAGCCCTGCAATAGTTTAAAACAAGACGTTTGTAGTAGCCTTCTGATTACTGGAGTCCATTAATCGAACTTCCATGCCTCTTATATAGTAATTATATATTGTAGTATGTAGGCTACCAATTTACTAATGCAATTAATGGTCACACTCGGTTTCTCTCGTGCTCTGTCGCTCGCGCGCAGACACACTCGGAGTTCTGTAGCCTCCGGGCTGGTTGCGGATGAGACAATTGTTGAATGAGACAACACGCGAGGTGAGGGGGAACAAAAGCAAGGAGGCGGGGGCGAGCACAGCACAGAGAAGGCAAACAAGCAAAGTGGCGAAATCAGGATTAAATATAAACAATATATCGATATATACGATATGTCAAAATCCATATCGTGTTTAAAAAATATCTCGATATATTTTAAATATCGAGATATCGCCCACCCCTAAGCAGGAGCACCTCTATCACTTCATCTGAGCAGCCAATCTGCAGTCCCCGCATCCTCTGAAGCCTTGCATAATTCTGAAGGAACTTCTTGCTCTTGTTGACACAAACTGTGGTCATGTAGTCGAGAAGCCTTTTTCCCTTCAAATCCAAATTCAGTGTGAATGTCTCTTTGAGGTCAATTCCAGTGAGTTCCTTGAAGTGGACTAACATGCCAAGTTCATCAAACAAAAACGGCCACTCCTCTCTAAGGCATTTGATACTTTTTCCCTGGTTGACATGTTGACGCTGCGTGTAAAACGTGGACTTCATTAGATGTTTTACCTCCTCTGGATTGGCATCAGAGTTTTGGAACATCACCTGGAGTTTTTCCATCTTTTGCTGCTGGCTCTCTTGAGTTTCTTCAATGGGCATAAATTTTACATTCCATTTCCTGCATTGCTGCGGTCTCTTGTAATGGGATCTCGTCTGTCTGGTCTGAGACATCAGTCTGATGTTTTCTTTTTCGTATTTTGGGTGTTGAAGTGCGCCTCACATTTTCAATTCGGTTTTGCAACTGTTTGACAAGGGAATGGTAGCCTGTTCCAACAATATCCCCCTCTATTACATCTTGGAGAGAATTGGGATACTTTGCCACCATTTTTGTTGCAACATCAGTTGAATGCTTTTTTCCTACATGAGGGCATTTGTCCATCATCTCAGTCACAACAATCCGGACCATTTGCCGCCTCAGTTTTGTGCCGGGCCTTTTTCCCCTCTCCAAAGAATGCATCACTTCCTCAGGAAATTTACCCCATGGAATTTCAAAGTTGTCATCCCACTGTGTGTCAAGTCCTGGGCTGCTGAAGGAGGTTGACGATGAAATTGGTGGTGAAACAGAGAGCGATTGGGTAGATGAGGCTTCCACAGATGATAGTGAGCTGTTCTCGGGAGTGTGGTCTTCATAAAAAATAAAAAAAATAATACAAAAAAAATATTATAATGATTCACACTGTACAATAATACACAATGTCCATGTCTGGTTTTGATTTTGAATAGTTGTGTGGTGGTGTTTTTACTTACATTTCTGTTTCCAAACAGAAAGAAACTTTCTGGCTTGTATAGGTCTCAATGCATTCAACAAATCAGCCTCCGTTATGAACATTAGATCATCATACGTCTCGACTCCAATGGACTGCAAGTGCTCTACCAGGATGTTTTTGTTTATTGCTTGAAGTTGTGGTAGGACTTCCATGATGGTGACATCTAGGAAGGATTGCTCCGAGTCACTCATATTTGCACTGAAGAAAATAATGCCACCTTCAAACAGAACAGAATAAAATATATACAGTAAATACGCTTAAAGGAACACTCCGTCTTTTTGGGACTTTAGCCTATTCACCTTATCCCCCAGAGTTAGATAAGTCCATACATACCTTTTTCATCTCTGTGCGTGCTGTAACTCTATCTGACGCACCCACCGCTAGCCTAGCTTAGCACAAAGACTGGATGTAAATGGTTGCAGCTAGCATACGAATCCAAATAAGTGACAAAATAGCCACTGAGTAAGTGGTAAATGTTTGACTACAGTTGGCGCCAACACATTTGAAAAGACAACGGGGCTCATTCCTATGCACTCTGCAATGTAGTATATAGCCTCTTAAGGTATCCAAATTCTTTTTACAAAAGACGCAGGTGATCATTTTTAGGATTTCAAGTGTTTGCCTGTGCTATTCAGCTCACGCATTGATCTAGCAAGCTATCTTAAATATCAACTAGTGCTAGCTTAACTTTTAACGTAACTTAACGTTAGCCTAACGTTAACGTTACACCATGGGCATTCAGCACACATTTTCACTTAGTGTCGAAAAAAAGTAGACTTAATGTGAAGCTTACCGTGCAAACGTTAAATTTTCTGGATGAACAGCAGCAGATCCTCCAAAAAACTTGTTGAAATCGTAGATTTGTCCTAAAAGCTTTAAACCTGATAAAGTGGTCCGAAGATTTCTGCAAATGCAGCTCTGGCTCGCGGGCGCGGCTCGTTATTGATGTCACTCGTGCTTCTCCCGCTCTCCTCCCACGATTATCCAATCAGAGACGAGCTTCATATGCGCTATGAAATTCAAAATTAGGTGGACTCAGAGCACAATTAGAGAGAACAAAGACACTGTTAGGTTGTTTAGCCTGTGATAATGATACAATGGTCAATTTATTTATTTTATTAAAAAAAAAATAGAAAACGTAAAATTTAAAGACTAAAAGAAACTAATGGTCCGAATATTTCTGCTGCGCCTCTGTTTTTTCTCTAGCAAATGCACTGCAGCTCTGGCTCGCTCGTTATTGACGTCACTCCTCCCGCTCTCCGCCCGCGATTATCCAATCAGAGACGAGCTGCACAATTCAAAATCAGTGCACAATGATAGAGGCACTGTTAGGTTTTAGCCTGTGATAATGATAAAAATGGTAAAAAAAAAAAAATTATTTAATAAATAAATAGAAAACCATTAAGCTAAGTATTACATTATAATTGAAAGACTAAAAGAAACAAAGCATACAATGATTATGGTTGCGACTGAACAGAAGTGTTACTTTGCACAGGCCTCAATAATTGTAATTCTTTATACACATAGGCTATAAATACAGTATGCTACAAATAAATCACAAAGCGATGTTAGCGAAGGCACCGTTCATTTTTTTTAGCCTGTGATAATGACACAATGCTCAAATTATTACTATTATTTTATCAATAGGCCTATGTAGAAAACCAGTAGGCTAAGTATTAGCCTACATTAAGATTTAAAGACTAAAATAAACATAAGGCATTACTGAACAGTGAACAGAAGCATTACTTTTTATTTTTATTTATTACACACACACACAAGGCTACAATATGCTACAAAATTATAGTCTAAATTATAAAAACAATATTATTATAATTGTAGCCATATTTTTATATATAAATAGGTAACCTCTTAGGTTCACATTTATTTTTTGTGTGAAAAAAATGTTATTACCTCAATTTGCATCATTTCATCAATCATGCTAAAAATAGCCTACAGCATAAACTTGTAAAGTGACATACTTTATAGACATACAAATAGTAAAAAATACTATTTGTATTTTTAAAATCAGACTAAAACTTTAGTTTTACAATATTTGCATGTCAAATTAACAAAATTGTTTTGTTGTGAGTATTACAGTATTTCTCTGTTTTTGGTATCAATATTTGTAATTTTAACAAATAATTTTGATTATAATCACATATTGTTATTGTAAATATAACAAAATATTATGTTTAACGGTTTACAAAATTTCACTGTGATTTAAAAAAAAAATATATATATGTTTTTGGGTTTACAATACTTTTCTGTAGGGATTTTACATAGTTTTTCTGTAAATTTCACGGTCATTTTTTACAGTGTATACATTAATGTGAAAGTACGTGTTTTACATCTAAAAAATCTGTACTTTGACGGGGAGTTCTTGTGGATGTAATTGATAATGTTATGAATTTACCAAAGAATACTGTGTAAAAACAGAAGACTTCTTTAATTGTATAATTGTAAGGTATTCCTGCAACAATTTCCAGTTTATATGCAGATTTATTCATTTGTTTAATGTTCTACAGACATTTTTTTAATGAGATTTTCTTTTCATTCTACAGCAGTGGAACTGTAAAAATACAGAAAATGTTTACAGTAAATATCTGTATTTTAAAAAACAGAATTATTCCGTAGAATAACTTAATGTTTTTTACTGTAATTTGACGGTAAGTGTTTGGCAACTTTGCTGCCAGAAAGGTTTCACAGTAAAAAAACACATAGTTGTCTTAATTTTAAATAAGCGATTTTTTTGTCCTTTTACATAGAATTTAATGTAATTTAACATTCAAGCCAATTAAACAAAAGAATAATCCTGTAAAAAAACTATAATTTCTCCTTATATGAATTTACAGATTATTACTTTTATTTTATGGTTAATGTTTTTAATAAAAGTTTTTTTCTGTATTTTAATGACATTTACACGTAATGTTAAAAAAACAGAAAATATCCGTAAAATAATACAGTATATTTCTGTGAAAAAACTTTTTTTTTTTTTACAGTGTAGATCTGAAACAAGTCGGGTCCCTTCATCAGTGTAAGTCTACTCGATTTTTTTCACCCATCTTTTAGAATTAATCTCTAACCTGATTATGAGCCATTGTGCTGCTTGACTTAGCAAGAATCACTAATATCTAATGGTCTAGAAACATTACAAATATTGGCTTTCCTGGCTGTCAAATAGTGTGATTAAGCAACCTTATTTGTCGACGCACAGCTTTCTCGTTTGCACAGTGAAGGGTCTATGTTATCACGTCTGGGTTGTGCTTTTGGGGCGTCACATAAAGGGTAGTTCCTCTTTGAGCTGAACCTTCCCATCGCTATATACAGGGACAAATTTGAGAATTTGACATTAGTTCTTCTAGGCGAGGTGACTGAAGACATGACTGCCTTCAAACTGGAGCTCCTCTTTTTCACTGCCCTTCTGGGTTCAGGTAAATGAACTGATGACGGTAATATTGATATGTTCTGCGAATGTCTATTTACATCTCTAGTGCTTTTTTAATGTTTGATAATGAATTAAAAATATGGAATAATATAGTGTGACAAGAAATATAATCAGATATTATTGTTATATTAAAAAGTTTGCCTGATTTCAAAAATTCTCCAAATATCTTCCCAAAACTTGTGTAAATTTATTTGATTTTTAAATCTATACAAATTTCTTAGTGATATTCCCATACTGTTATTTATTTTCCAAATGCATGCAATCCATTTTCATCTTTCAGTTCAGTATAGGTTCATGAAAAGTGATTTTGTTTTTAACAGTCAAAACAAGATCTGTTAATACAACAGGCATGAATAAAGTCCCGATGGGTGCGGATGACACTGTGGTGAGTTTTAGGAATCATAAATGCTTTGCTTTTTTTTCCCTCGCTTTTTTTTGTTACATATACTGACTTAAACAAAAGGTGACTCGACCCTGTCAGTCTGCATTTCAAACACTGGTTGGACTGATATTCTTTCCTTAGCCAGGAAGTCTTTTTTTTTTTTTAAAGAAACAAAACCCATATAAGGCAGAGTAATTATAAAATGCAAAAATGTCATTAACACATATTGCAAATCCAGAATTATTGTGATTAGTTTATAACATTTCATACATCAATTTTTTTCCATATTAAATCCTTAGTTTGGTTTCTAAGACATAATTGACTGATTAGAGAAAATAGAAGTTGTCATTTTCATATCCTCAAACTCTTTCACACAGCACCTGAAATACAAACCACAAACTTTTAAGAGTACGATCACTTCTCTTTATTTCTCCACCCTTAAGATTAAACATTTGATAGGATAAAAATTACACATAAAACAATGGGCCTTTGAATATTCTCTAATATTTTATATGCTGTAGATGGGTGACATGTGTCAGGACTGCACTCAGATTTTTGAGCTCCTGAAGGACCTCGTTTCCAATCAAGACTTTCAGGTATGATCAAACACACACACACACACACACACACACACACACACACACACAGATGTAATAGTGAATAAATAATATGGTCTCTTGGCTGATGTCTGAGATACAGTGTTTTACAACAGATTGAGGTGAGAGTAATGCCGTTTAAAACTGAAAAGAATGAATTTACAATCAATGTCAAAGCTTTTGAGAAAGTCTTAACATGACTGCAGCTTAATTTATCACAAATTTGCATGATTTTCAGCATGTTTTAAATAGTATTTCAAATAAATAAGGAAGTTGTATTGAAAAGCAGAAGTGAATTGCTTCGGTTCTTTTCATGGTGTCACTTTTTGAACTTCTCACTCACAAACCTGGTGAATTTGGTGTTTCTCACCTATCCACTTATCGGTCAGATATGGTCCTTCAAAGACCCTGTATGTATTATATCTGTACTAACACATCCGCTTTACAATGAGCCTTACATTGACATGATATTTTGTCCTCTTTATTCACTTATAGGAATATTCTGTTTTAGGCTCAATGGAGCACACTTGTTGAATATTGTAGATTATCACAAAACATTTTTATTTATCTCTTGTTTTCTTTTGTAACAAAATGGAGGTTCACGGTGAGTCACTTCTAATTAAAGTAATTGTATTTTGCAGTGTTTTACAGCAGAAAAGTGACGCAGTGACATTAATTATTCTGTTAAACTGTGTTTCTTAATCTGTAAAGTTGTTCTCATCATTTTTATGGTTGTTGTGTAATGGCTTAAAGTTGTACATTTATATATATATAACTTTACACAGAAAAATGTTTATAAGCATTTTTTTTTTTACTTGATCTCATTAATTTTTTTAAGGTTTTTTTAAGGGTTTTTTTTTTTTAGCCTAAACCTAACCGTCAGTGGGCCGTAAGCAGATCGTACAAAACAAAAAATCTAAATTCGATGCCATTTCGCCAAATTGTAAAAATAGTTATCAATTGCCATGAGAGTGTGCTGGGTTTTTCTTCACACTAAAATCATGTTGACATCACGATCATTTACGTCTTGTGGTTGTACGTTTAAAAAGGTACGTCATTTTCAAGGTTTATGTATTTGCCCCATTAACTTCCATTGTACGTATCTCACTGTAACCAAGACTTTTTTTCTCAAGAAAAGGAGGGACAATTTGGAAAAAAATTGTTGTAAACATCATATTGCAAATGCTGTTGATTGATTTGACTTGCACTGAACCTGGAATATTCCTTTAAGACACCACAGGCATTATTAGACTGAAAAGTATCAAACCAACTGGCATCTGTAAACAAATGCTGCACAAGCCTTTCTGAGGTGCAGGAATGACTTTTAAACAACTGCTTGTACAGGGGCAGTACATCACTTTAACTAGAAACATGATCCGCTGATGTTCAACTACTAGAATGTGTCCAAATATTTTTGTTTTATGGATTTGTTGAAATGTTTTATTTAAAGTGTTCTTGTACTGTCTTTATTTAAAATAAATGCCACTTGGTTTGATATATGTATCTAATGCAATGGCATTCATACAGTTTTAACCCTACTCCTCTCCTTGGGTCATTTTGACCTGAAATTGGTAGGTTTTTTTTTACATTTTTAAAAACCAGGTGTTCATCTGAGTGGTCTAAGAGATTGCTTCAAACTTTTACACTTGAAATGGGAATACACGATTCAAGGTGTTTTTTTTTAGTTGTAATAAGTAACAAATGGGGGAAATGGGGGGTATTTGTCAAAAAAAAAAAAAAAAAAAAAATCTGACACAATCCTGAACAGACACATGCGCAAATGAAGGGATCAGACCATATGGAGTCTAAACGCACGTAAACGCAGTTTACGCACCTCCCAAAATTCGGAAATAGCGTTTACCCACCTCTAAATTGCGTTTATCCACCTCTAAATAGCCTGTAGTTCCTAAGACATTTTAAATTAAGCATTTCGTTTTAGTTTCATATTGTTCATTATTAGTTTCATAGGTTGTTAAACCTAAGACGAACTCTTTCATATTGCGCTGCATTACTGTGTTGCTGACTATTAGCCTACTGACGGTTGCACAGTTGACGCTCGCGCAGCCTCTCGAGGAGAAATCTAACGTTACACAAATGAGCGCAGCACACACACACACACACACACACACACACACACTCAGTTAACAACATACTGCCTTTAAAAAATCTAAATGTGGAGTTTTTATATTTTAACATAATGTTAAGCAACCTCAGTTATTTTTTCTGAACACCATCACGATTGAAAATGTGACATTGATTTCCTACAACAGTTCAATAAACAGTTCAAATTAAGTCACTTACATTAGATGCAAAATTGGCTGTTATTGTTCTGTTTCAACAGCGAAAATAGTTCCAAACAAAAATCACAGCAGAACCACTGCGCATCTCACAGGAACACTCAACCTGTTTTCATTACTGAATGATTCAGCATTTTGAACGAATCGGTTGAGTCAAAGATTCAATGATCCATTCATAAACATCTGTGGCCCAATCCCAAATGGCACACTTCATGTGCACTCGGTCTTGTGGACTTACAATGGCTGCCGCGTGCGCGTGACCGTTAAGTCCGTGAGACCGCAGTGTGTCCCATTTGTCATTTTTAGATCTCAGAAGGGTGCTCGCGAGCGCCCCCTCTGCGGTCGATTTGCGCCCTTGATGCACACTTTTGCCGAGCCCGCGCTGATGCGGACTCCACAGCAGACTTCTTCCCGACATTCAAAGCGGCGTTACGTCGCGAAAGTGCGGACTCAGAGGAAGACCGCGAGTGCTTAGGGTTCCATTTGGGACAGGGCCTATCTCATTCTTGAATGAATCAGCTGTTTGAACAAATCGTTTGAATGAATGAATCAATGACTCACTCATTAAGACGGTCGCCTGCCACCACCTACTGGCGGGCGGTTTGGTGTTATGTTTAAAAGTAGTATCATTCTTTCCAGCGTTTCTTATATGTAGGCCTATATTTAAATCAATTTCATAACATTATTTTGTGCAATTGTAATTTTTCAGTGTAAACGATTTAATTTCATCCGCCCTACCTGTAACAGCCCTATAGTGTCTTATTATTCGAAATAATTGAATTTATTGATCAAATTTAGGAATTTAAAATGAAAGATGAAGCATCCATTTAATAATATTGGGGGAGGGGATGCCCTTTAAAGGTGCAGATACGGCATTCAAATATGCCGATTTAAATATCGCTAATTGAACACTGATGAGAATTGTTTCAGAATAAATTAACACACACAGGGTTCTCAAGTCTCACGCATTGGCCGTGAGACACACGCAATTCAACCAGTTCACACGCTCACACGCCACACCGTGTATATCTCACGCTGAAAAGGCAATGCCAACCGAGTTGTCCTGCAAGCTTTATATATAACGTTGTATACGAGGCGCATGCACACAAAGATAAGTTTCCTGCCGCCAGCACGTCCGCATCTCGGCCAGATTGCGTTCGTTACTATAGGCAACTTATAGACGCGCGAAGTCCGCGAACACACACGGAAGTTCGGCCACCGCGACATCGCGCGAACACACGTCGTGATGGAGAAGAAAAAGTTGGAAGAAAGCTCGCCTAACATTTTTAGACTAGAACATTTAATATATAGCCCATCGTATTATTGATGCAGTCAAAAACTCTACAACTGCTTTGCAACCAAGCCAAAAGCTTTGGCTCAGTTTGGCTAAGGAAATGTTATTGGGTATGGGAAGGAATGAAGATGTATTTCTTCAGTTTATTTTAAATTCTATATTATACTGTATTAATAGTATTTCTAGTTACATTACGGCTAAAGCAGAGTGCTCTTGGTAATATTGTATATCCTGTCAAAACATACATTAGCCTAATCATTGCTATTGCATTTGTATTTTTCAAAGATGCCAGGGAAAAATGCAAAAATATTTGTTTTTCCACACATTTTGGAGCAATTTGTTATATATTTGTAGCCTAATTTTGAAATATAACATTAAAGAGTAGGCCTATATTTGATGTGATGAATTGCTCTGTCATTTATCAGATTTACCAATTGTTATAATTTAAATTTTTGCTGGTTAATTATGAACAATGGGTAAAATTGGGGGCGGGGATAGGCAGGGGCGGGGCTCCATTTAGGCCCCTCCCCTAACCGCATGTGATCTCACTCCAAGCTTTTGATAAAACTTGAGAACCCTGCACAACAACAACAAAATCCAGACAAGCAACTTTTTTACTCGGACAAGTGAATGACAGATTTACTTTAGACAAGCATATGAAAAGGCTTAATGTCGAGCCCTGCCTATAGCAATGCCATCAGGATACACATAGACCAGTAGGCAGTGGCCCACCTTACCGGGTGACCACGTCGTGGTCCACCAGAATTTATAGTTTACCCACCTCTTTTTCTACCACTACACCTCTGGATCCGACTATAGAATAACCTAATTGCAGAACACGTACACCACTCACACATAGAAATAGATAATAAAATGAATTTATGTTTTGAATTTATATTAAGCTTTGTTCCCATTATATTCCAGTTTATTTGCTCTATATAGAATCTCCAAAGAGAAACTGTAGACCTCTCTAGTGGCAATAATCATAAAATGCAGATTAATGTCTTTTTTTCCACTAGAAGTCAGCAGAGACCCTCAGTGAAATTGGACTGTGTTTTTTTGGTCTCGTTTGTGTGTGTGTGTGTGTGTGTGTGTGTGTGAGTGTGTAATAATGTATAAAGATGCTTATTTTCAATTAAAATAATATTATTCAAGAATTTAAAGGTAAATAAAAATCATTTTAAAAAACCTGCATTAATTCAAAGATTATTATTTTATCATAATAGACAGATAGAACATTTCTGGACAAAAAGAGAGAGAGAGAAAAGTAGTTTTTAGGAGAGGTACCTAAGGAGAGCTAGTGTAAAGAATATCCTTTGCCCAAACAATTGTATTTTTTAAATCAGATGTGTATGTGGGATTCTCTTTCTTACACAACTTCAATGCAATAATTTATCTTCATGTTTAGGCCAAATTAACTGCCACTCTTGAGCAAGTGTGTGATAAGTTGCCTCCCCAAGTCACTAAAATCTGCCACACTGAGGTGGAAAAGATGCTTCCTCTGGCCATCACCTTCATAAGCAGCATAATGGTGAGTAGCTCACAGCTTTAGTTAGATCAGAGTATGCGTTTGACCAATAGGATATTGTATTGTGCACATTCAGTGGTAAAATGAACGCACATGGGTTTGAAAACTTACATGTAACAAAAAAAGTCTCTCTGCAGAATCCAAGTGACATCTGTACTTTTTTTGGACTGTGTGGAGGCCGTGACAGTGGGAAGATGAAAGATATGTTGCTTAATCACATGGCAAAAACTGTGCCAATAGGAACTATGAAGGTAACATTAAGAGGATGTTTTTTTTGTGTGTTTTTTTTTTTGCATGTTCTGCATAGCTGACTTAAGTTCCTCTGCTGTCTAACACAGATGGAGGGATCCTTTCAGTGCTCTGTTTGCACATACGTTGTGAGCACACTTGGGTATCTGTTTCCTAGAGAGAGGGCTCAGGTGAAATTCACAATCACATTACACATGGATTTCAGATTCAGAATAATGGCATATTTCCTACTGAATAGTGTGCAGTTTACACTCTTAATGCGCTTAATTGTTGAATGTGCACATGTAGCACAAATCTTTCTTTTCTTTTTCTATAATTTTCAAAATAATCTAAATCAAATTAAAAAAAACAAGTGTATTTTAAGAGAGTACACTTTAGTTTTACTTTACAGTTTTAAATCATTATGTTTTAATAATATTTTGTCATGCTATAAAGAACTACACTTATAAAGCACAATAAAAAAACAGCCTTGATTATAATTTTAATTGTAGTGTGTTCTTCGAATTACATTTATAGTTGATATATTTCAAATGTACTAAATTGCAACTTGTGATTACAAATATATTTAAATACTGTAGGCTACATGACATACATCACAGACAGCAACATAAGCCCCTTTCACACAGAGATTCCGGAAAATACACGGATAAAGTGACCCGGGATTTGACCCGGGTTCGTTTGATTTTGCTTCATTCACACTGCCAGTGATTTGCCGGAATCAGAGAGCGCGTTCACACACAACCCGTGTATGTTCCGGAAAGACGCGTGACGTTGGATGTGACGGGTCTCTACTTCAGTCCAGTTTGCAGACATTTTTTCGTTCTTTCTTGTATCGATGACGAACACAAACTTTCTTCTAGAGTAACTGAGCCGCACGATAACTACGTCATTGCAAAGGCTCGTGAATCATCACTACGACACACCCCTTATACGGCATTGGTTCTGGCTTTTGTTCACACAGCGCGCGTTCCGGGTCTGAACACGGCAATGTTACTAGGTCCCCAACCCGGCATCGATCCTGGCATCAATCCCGGGTCGTGTTTGCGTTCACACAGAAGGCACTCTGGCAATTTGCCGGCAATTTGCCGGGTTCACAGCGCTGTGTGAAAGGGGCTATAGTGTCGGTCCAGATCCGGCCCACATCTGGTACGTGAGGAATCCATGTGTGCCAGATGTGGGCCGGATCTGGGCCGACACTATGTCGCTGTCTAGAAATTATAGTACAAGTATATTTTAGTTCACCATAAATGCTTGTGAGTACATTCAGCAGTACCTGAACCATAATTTAAAGACGACAGAAGTGATTCTAAAATTACACATAAAGATGGACTACAAAAAAAGCACTTTAAAGTTCAGATAACTGCATTTAATATAAGTTTAAACTATAATACATTTCCTTTAATTGCCATTAATATGCGTTTAAGTGTTTGAAAACATTACATTCCGTTTGCATTTAAGTATATTCTTTAATAGCATATTATCTCAACAATAAGTACTCTTTTTAAAAGTATGCTTATGTGTACTTCTTTTTCACCAGGGATTTATTTTACCTAGACGTCCTAAAATACAGTATGCTACATTGTTGATCTAATCATCTTCAAAATCTTATGTTTTGTCTGATCAAATAATGAGTCAAAATACACTGTGTTCCAAATTATTATGCAAGTGACATATCAGTGGAATTTTTCAGTACAATAAACATTCAGATTTTAGTTTTTTAAAAGAAAGTTTTGTTTTATTGCACCATATCTGTTTAGATAACTGGTATCAATCTCAGTATCTCTTTGTGAGCTTGAAATGCACAATGAAATGCAACTTTACGCACAACTGACTCCAGCAAGGTTCTTTTTTTTGACAGAAACTTTCCTTAAGCCTTTATCTGACCGAGTTCTCTTGTGCTCGTGTTCTCTTGTGCAAATCGTATGATAGTTTGATAATCTCCATTCAGTTTTAACACAATATTAGTTGTTTTCATTCCTTTTGCATATATATTTGCAATATTGCGCCATTTCATGCTTTTCATCTTCAGAACCCAGACAGCAACATAGTGTCGGCCCAGATCCGGGCCACATCTGGTACATGTTGCTGTCTGGGAAAGATCTTTCTTCCGTCCCATATTGTAAGAAAACTGTGACTTGCTTAATAATGTGGGTCAACCCCTTTAAGTAGGGTTTCCATTTACCTAAGTAGACCTGTCAAACAATTTAACAAACCTGTCTGAGATTGATACCAGTTATCTAAAAAGATATGGAGAAATAAAACAAACAAACACTTTCTTTGAAAAACTAAATTCTGAATGTTTATTGTACTGAAATCCTACTTGTATGTCACTTGCATAATAATTTGGAACACCATGTAGACGAGTAAAAAATGCAGCTGTAATTTTTTTTTTTTCACGATGGAAAAGAAAAGTCACATCAAGCGCCGTGTTTTGTGTTTGTCCTCCCCTACAGAGCATCATAACTATCCTGCTTGAGAGTTTGTGCAGCGAGTTTCCTCCTCTGATTCAGCCACAGTGCCATAAGTTGGTTGAAAAATACGTCCAACTCTTGGTTGACATGCTACTGAACAACACCTCTCCTAACTTCATATGCACTCTCCTTCGTCTTTGTGAAATACGGGAGCGTCCCATCAACGGTTAGAGTTCAGACATGAGCTTGTACTGATTTTTGTCTTTAACACTTCTGAACATCAATAAAGGAATAATTCACAAAAATGCTAATTATAGACCAAGGGAGTCCAATCCTGTTCCTGGATAGCCTGGGAAAACCCAGACAACTTCCGGCAAATTTAGATTTGCTCTGAAAGTTAGTCTGGCAAAGAGCTCATTCAAGCCCATTTCCAATCCGCCGAAATCGAGCCACCAATCACAAACGTTGGGGCGGGCTTTACACGATGACGACAGCGCTGGGATTTTGAAGCCGATTTTGTAGCCTACATTACAAAGATGGATGCCGCCGTCGAACATAACCAGAGAATGTCTAATTGAAGAGAATTGGCACTGTCTGGTTACTTCCGGTTTCTGGACTGGCTGCAGTAACACGTCTCTGTCCATGCGGGGGCGCTCGCAGGCGAGTGCAGAATGAATGGGAGTCTATAGGGTTTCACCCCCAGAAAGCCACTTTTCTCAGGATGTCATTTTTTGTCAAGTAATTTAAAAGTTGCATTCAAAAGGGAGGGCTAAGATAATACACTCAGCTGAAAATGGCATTTTTAAGTTCACTTATCTGTTCTAAAAATCTATTCAAAAATGTGATGACGTCACATAATAGCAGAATGCTAGCGTGTCCTGGCCAACAACGGCCTAACCTGTGCGAAATCGAAAGGACATAAGTACTCGTTCATTCGACTTTTGGCCTATAATCTATTGAACTTGCGGAATCAACAATAAAATATATGTTGATTCAACGACAAGCAGGAGAAAGAGATACATTTAGCCGTTTGGCTCCATAGACTCCCATTCATTCTGCACTCGCCCGCGATCACCTCCAGTGGAACTGGAACTGCAACCAAGATGATACACAATGGGGCTAATAGGAAGTGCCAAGGCTCTCCGTTAGACGGGCTCTGACATAACTCGTTCGAATCAGCTATCGCGTCTGTTTTAAGCGATTTGAACGTTTCCTTTTTGTTAAAAACCGAGCAAAGAACAACACTCGGAGATGTTTCACCGCCGCTCTGCATACGTCATCTCCTTCATCGCTCTGATTGGTTTTAGGTCTATCCGCGACGTCCGTTGATGACGCCCCTCTGGAAATTATTTCTCTATGACGCTTTGCCAGAGCATAACTTAGTTACAACTGAGAATGGTCTGGTTTTAACCAGGCTAGTAACTTCCTGTTTGAGCTGGTTGGAGCGAAACTGTGCAGGACGTTGGCCCTCCAGGAACTAGCCTGGTTAAAACCAGACCATTCTCAGTTGTAACTGAGTTATAGTCTGGCAAAGCGTCATAGACAAATCATTTCCAGAGGGGCGTCACCAACGGACGTCGCGGATAGACCTAAAACCAATCAGAGCGATGAAGGAGATGACGTATGCAGAGCGGCGGAGAAACATCTCAGAGTGTTGTTCTTTGCTCGGTTTTTAACTAAAAGGAAACGTTCAAATCGCTTAAAACAGACGCGATAGCTGATTCGAACGAGTGATGTTTCGACGGCGGCATCCATCTTTGTAATGTAGGCTACAAAATCTGCTTCAAAATCCCAGCGCTGTCGTCATCGTGTAAAGCCCGCCCCAGCGTTTCTGATTGGTGCCTCGATTTCGACGGATTGGAAATGAGCTTGAATGAGCTCTTTGCCAGACAAACTTTCAGGGCAAATCTAAATTTGCCGGAAGTTGTCTGGGTTTTCCCAGGCTGGGAAGTTACTAGTGAGTCTGAAGACCTTGGTTAGCTGGTTGAGGCGTGTTTAATTGGGGTTAGAGCTAAACTCTGTAGGACAGTGGCCCTCCAGGAACAGGTTTGGACACCCCTGGTTTAGATCAATTTCTCTGCCTCCCATTCCGTTTCTTCATTCCTCTCTCTTTTTTGAACAGCGCCTCCGGCACTTTCCGATTGTGATTCTTGTCTGACGTTGGCGGTTCTGACTCGAATGCGTCTGGGCTCCAATGCCACCGAGCGCCAGGCTGCTTCATTCCTGGACACCGTGTGCCAGCTGCATCCTGGTGCCATGCCGAAGGTTAGACATAAAGCCCCTTTGAATTACTGACTTTTGAGTGCCCTGAATTTGTATAATAATTTATAATACTCTAAATAAATTGAATAATTTCTATATCTTGTCTAGTGTGATGCGTACGTGCAGCATCATGGGAACCAGCTACGTGTGCTTCTGAGCAAACCACAGGGGCCGCTGGATATTTGTAAGGTAACTACTAGATTTTTTAACTTTCTGAAAAAAGAAATGGTGCAATTTTAAGGGAGCAAAAAGGTCTAATGTCCATTGTCGATAGTGTAGAAATGTATGAAGCACAGCTCACACAGAAGTCACTGTCAAACCAGGCAGGTTTTCAGGCTTCCTGTTGGTCAACGGATTCTTTCTGTGGGTGAACTTGCTTGACCAACTTGAATCCGATGTGAAATCTGTGTGGAGAAATCTTTCGCCCTCACGTGAAATTCCCGATCGCAAGGATTCCTATTCAATTGACAGGATTTCACCAGTAAATATAAACAAAACCAACCACGGTAATTGTGACTGCACCTTTAATGTTGGCATGAAACTGAAGTTGTGACAGTCTTTCCTTCTCTATAGTGACTTAGCCTATATCCAAGTAAAACGGCTTCTCGAACAAGAAAAAATGTGGGGCGGGACTTGATTGGATGGTTGTGGTTTGCTATTGGTGGATCTCATGTGGGTGACAGGTTGCCCCGCCCTAGGGCCAGTAAACGCATCATCAGAGAATAGAAGTTGTTGCAGAGGGAGGGGAGGATGTTTTTATAACAGATTACGAGGGCACATAATTTAGAAATAAAATAATGATGTGCACGGATAAATAATTTATAATAAACACTGCAATATTCCGTGAAAAAAAAAATGGATTGTACATTTTTATTTCATGGTGACTTTAATGTTTACCTGAACATGAAGCCAGGGTGTTGCTATGCAGTTGCTAAGGTTTTCAGAGTGGTGTTTAGCATGGTGCTATGAGATTGCTGTAGGTGAGGTATCATTTATGCCCAGAGAAAAACACTGTGGCAAAACCAAAACTGAACAAGGTTGGGGTAAGTTGTTTTGTTTACAAAATTGTGACCTTTTTGTCTTATTAATACTACCATAGCTTTCCAGCCGAGGGATTTCCAACTCTGTTGCATTGTAAAGGAGCATTCATTAGTCGCTTAGCTAGCATTAGCATCGCTGTTTTCGTGTAGTTTAAGTACCGAAATGCTAACACAATGATGTTAGATGCTGCTTTGCCATGTTGACGTGGATATGCATGATCGTCTCATGGGTTTTATTTAAATGACTATTTTGTTTTAGAGAGCAGTCTACACAATAATTAGACTAATTATTTTACCTGTTCAACAAAATTGGGCATCTCAACTCCGTAGTTTCAAATCTTGCATCTTGTATAACGTACAGATGTCTCCGCTGGTAAAGCACTAAGTGTTTTTATTGTAAAATTTTCGCTCTTCTCATCACCAAACAAAACTATGATACTAGCAAATAGGAGGCAGCGAATGATAGATTATAGAAACATCGCGAGTCATTTCATTATGCCGAAGTAGGCTACACTAGGAGATCGCACCATGTAAAATTAAAACACTTTTATAGAAAACTATTATGAGTGTATAACTATTAAAATTCTTAATCTCGTGAAAATTTAGACTCTTCACAAAAACACTATAGAATAATGCTAGCATAAATATTTTTTTAAATGGGAATCAAACTACTAAATGCACCTTTAATAAAATGCAACATTATGTCAGTTGACTTTCTAAAAAAAAATTTTTTGTAAAATGAGCTTAATAAATAGTTTGAAATGTTTAAATGAGGCATTTGTCTGTTTTCTGGACCCTTTAGAGGGCAAATTTGTGTGTTTCTGGAGAGAAGGAGTCTGCGATTGCTGCCGGCCCCTGTAGTCTTGGACTGGACTACATCTGCAGAGACCTCCAGACCGCTGTCTACTGTGGGGTAAGTGCACTGAAAAGCCTTTTAAGTGAATACATCTGCCAATGTGCATGTTCTAGCTTTCTACTCATCTTTATCTCATGTTCTGCAAGTTAAATTTTTATTTTAAACACATTTATATAACTCCTACAGGCAGTGTCCTTCTGTCAGATGAACGCTTGGGGATAAATCTGTTTCAGCTGTCCGTGCTCATGGTAAATGTTAACACATAGTTTGCCAAATGTCAATCAATGCCTAATAAACTGATAAATCTTGTATGTACTGAACAAGATTCTGAACCATTGGATATCTTACTGTTCCTTTGCATTACAGCCAGTTTATTAAAGTTTTACAAACCTTATCCACACAGACTGGGGCCTCTTTCATAATCATAACTCATATATTTGGTGTTCCTCATCATATCAAATATAAGTGGACTTTAGGGGTCAATATTACCATTTGACCACAAAAACTCAGTATGTTTTATTGATTGATTTTTGAGTGCTGAAGTTTTCTTCTGATCAAAGGTGAGGGTTTTCCAGCATTTGTGTGAGTTTTAACAGCATCTGTGTATCAACAATGTAGCCTATATGAAATGCTGATGGACCGACTGGACCAATGCCTCACTATTCTTCATCCTTTCCTGGATCTTCATGGTTCTATTTGCTTTTCAAGTTGAAAATGAGGGTCACAGAGTCATAAGCTTGGATGATATCTTCAGCAAACAAGATAAAATACAACAGACTTGATATAAAAACATGTTTTAAGGGGCAGTTGTTATTTTAACAAAAAGGGATACTGTTGCTTAAGCAACATCATTAATCTTACAATACTTTATCAATCTTTTCAGTGATTGCACAAGCCTTCAGAGAGGTCAAATCAAAGGACATTAACAATATTATCTTAGATATGATTAATTAAACATTTGATCAGTGATAATGTACATTTTTAACTAAAACTGCACACTTAAATTTTTATCAGATGATGTTGACTATATTACGGAAATATTTGGAAAATTTGGAAATATTAACGGGTGTGGGGTGGGGGTGGTGGGGGGGGGTTCTCATTTATCCTGAATTAACCTTATTTGTCCTACACTTGGAATTAGACACCACTGTCATAAAAACATATTACCATGGTAAATTATTGCAAGTAATATTAAATGTTGAATGACACTGTCCAAAATGCAGAATAGCTACAGCAAATGGCTAGCTCTATATTTAGATTTGATATTTATTTCATGACCCTTAATGTATATTAAAGTCAACAGTAAAGACAGCAGAATTACTTTATAAAAAATTGAATGCCCTGATGTAACTATTTAAATGGCGGCACATATGAAAATTCATGTGGCATTCATGTGGAAAAGAAAGGTCGCCCTCTTTGAAGCCTATTGTTTTACGTATCAGAACATAATAAAAATCATCTGGTCCTTGGTAGGTCTTAAAATTAGGCAGTACAACCTCAGACGAACAACAACACATGACATATTACACCGTGTCATTATTTATTTAACAAAATAACAAAAATGGAGAAGCCACCTGTGAAAAACTAAGGGTGCATCTCAATCAGCTCCCTATAGTTCAGTAGTCAGGGCACTGATCAGGGACTTGACCATTTTAAGTGTTGTCTCTATATATATATATATATATATATATATATATATATATATATATATATATATATATATGGGTTGACGTCACAATCGTGTTGCATTGTGGTATATAGAGCTGCCTGAAGTGTACATATTAAGTAGACTCCACATAAACTGTCTGTCCATATAAACTTCCCTCGTCCACTTCACGAAGTGGAACGCACTTCAAAATGGCGGCAGGGATTCCCCCGAGTGGAAGTGCTTAGGGAAGTTCGCAAATGCGTGTCTAAAAGTGGACTGGAACGCAGCCCTATGAAGCTGGGGAGCTGATTGAGACTCACGTTCGTACACCCTCACTGCTTCCATAGGAATTAAGAGGGTAAGTAGCAGTCAGGTGCTGCTAAATTAAATGCCCTTGATTAGTTGATCATCAGCAAGTGTCAATAAAAATAAAAACAGAAGTTGTAGTTAGCTGGGGCCTGTACCATGAAGGTAGCTGAACAAACTCGGAGTTACAGGATTAGTTTTGAGTTGACAAAACCAAACCGATGCAATCAGGCTTTATTGGTACCATGACGCAGCTCATCAACTTTCTCTGTCAACTCAGGCTTTGATCTTAAGCTATTACTCCACGAGCGCGTGCACATACCAAAGTCACGTTAGCACCGAACAACCAATCGCGTTCGATATGGATAGAGCGAGAGCGATATTTTCTTTCCGCGGAGGAGCAAGAGATAATCATTCAGAATTACGATGAATTTAAATATGTATTACAAGCTCGAAACAATACGGTCTCTGCTGCCAAAGCAAGAGAAGACTGTTGGAGAAAGATTGCTGATTGTGCTAATGTGTAAGCTAAATAAATACGTTCTTTATTCATGTAAAATGATGTATATAGGCTATGAATGTATGTGTGTGTGTGAAATATAGCCTATATTTTTATAATATATAAAAAATGTGCATGTATATACTAATAAAGATGAATATTTATAGTTTTTTGTTAAATGCAACTCCAAACGTTCTTGGCAGCTGATAAAGACAAATTATAAAAAATATAATTCAAAGTAGCCTAATAAGTATTTACACACAACCTTTTATTATTATTTTTATTAACACTTGTTTGAGGCAAACCGAAAAAAGAGTGAAATTCAGAAAACCAGAGGAGGGCCACTCCTCCAGAATACACTGAGTTGGCTCTGATAGGAATAAGGGACGGCCGATTATGGATGGGATTACAGGTGCTGTACAGTCTGACCCTGGTGCCGGCTCCTCTAAGCAAGTAACACTGGGTACGTGTGTGATACATTACTATTTTAAGTTTTAAATATGGCTGACTGTATGTTCTGCAGTCGAGGGAAATGCAGTGTCCCTGTTGAAGCCAGCACACACACACACAGTCTCCCACACAGAGGTCAGTATGCAGCAGACAGAACACCAGAAACCTATAGGCCTACTTTTATTTATCAGGGAGGAGGAAATGATGAAGACACTCTGTCTGTGTTCTGGGACAGTTGCTGAGGTGAATGAACTGGGCTTTTTATGAAGGCAAACATTTGAATGTGTGGCATAAAACAGGGACTGGCCCAAGTTACACATCTCTTTTATTGTAGGATTTTTCACAACCTGTCCCAGAAACTGAAGCCTCTACTCAACAGGCTTCAAAAGAAATGTAAGGATTTAAAACCCTTGACATATCTTACAGGTGTTTGTCAAGGAACTTTTTGTGAGTTGATTAGCCTCCCAAAAACGTGTAATGATGCTTGTGGTGGAATTATGTTTCAGGTGGAAACAGACTCAGTCAGGGCCCTTTACAAAAGGAGCCTATGGAGCTAGACTGCACACTAAAGGAGCCTATGGAGCTAGACTGCACACTAAAGGAGCCTATAGAGCTAGACTGCACACTAAAGGAGCCTATAGAGCTAGACTGCACACTAAAGGAGCCTATAGAGCTAGACTGCACACTAAAGGAGCCTATAGAGCTAGACTGCACACTAAAGGAGCCTATAGAGCTAGACTGCACACTAAAGGAGCCTATAGAGCTAGACTGCACACTAAAGGAGCCTATAGAGCTAGACTGCACACTAAAGGAGCCTATAGAGCTAGACTGCACACTAAAGGAGCCTATGGAGCTAGACTGCACACTAAAGGAGCCTATGGAGCTAGACTGCACACTAAAGGAGCCTATGGAGCTAGACTGCACACTAAAGGAGCCTATGGAGCTAGACTGCACACTAAAGGAGCCTATGGAGCTAGACTGCACACTAAAGGAGCCTATAGAGCTAGACTGCACACTAAAGGAGCCTATAGAGCTAGACTGCACACTAAAGGAGCCTATAGAGCTAGACTGCACACTAAAGGAGCCTATAGAGCTAGACTGCACACTAAAGGAGCCTATAGAGCTAGACTGCACACTAAAGGAGCCTATAGAGCTAGACTGCACACTAAAGGAGCCTATAGAGCTAGACTGCACACTAAAGGAGCCTATAGAGCTAGACTGCACACTAAAGGAGCCTATAGAGCTAGACTGCACACTAAAGGAGCCTATAGAGCTAGACTGCACACTAAAGGAGCCTGACTGTGAGCTGAGGAGGCTCCACATTTAAAAAATAAATGCAACAGCTAGATTAAACTGATCTCAGCATGTGAACTTATTTAACCAAGTAACACTTTAGCATGAATATTTATTAATGCAACTTTCTATTGCTTTCTTTCTCCCCCCCATCCCACAAAACCAATAAAACAGTTTGAGACCTATCTGCAGTTTCAATGTGCTTTTATTAAGTGTAATATTGTATGGTGATTGCAACTACATTTGCACCAGCTGGGTGGTCAAGTGTGTTCGGGTCAGTTTCATCGGGGAGAAGCTTTCTGTGGTGTTCTGGCTCCTTTCTATGGTGGCTATATTGTGCAGGATGGCACATGCAGACACTATCTGTGATGCCCACTCTGGTGACTCTTAAGCGCCGAAGACAGTTGAAGCGTGCCTTTAGGATGCCAAAGATCATCTCTAACTTTTACTATGATTTTACTGACACATGAGGGTCATGATAGGGGGTTATTGTGTAGGTTTTGCTGTCCCAATTCAAATTAACAGTGTTTTGTACTGTACCAAATTTAACTAGCTTTCCTCAAAGCGCTGACACAACATACTCACGGAAAGTAGATTGTTATCTGTTCATTTTACTATTAATTTAAAGATTCATCTCACAGAAAATAATAATTTCACATGTTCACATAATCTCTACCTGAACATTAAGGCTGTGAAAAGACTTTCTATTAACATAATCTGCCTCATGTTCTCCTAGAGAAGTGGAGATTGCAACATGTGTGCAGGCTATTGCTCCAATGACTCTATAGGGAATCCTATCATAAGATTAAAATAATGCTTAACATGTACTGTATTATATAGTACATTTGTGAAATTTGCTTTTTGAAAAAAAAAAAAAAAAACCTTGATGTCACTCCATCAATATATTTTACCGGCAATTTTATAAAAACCAAGATAAGATAAGATATTCCTTCCGCAGAAAATCTGTATCTTTCATAGCCTACACTATCAGAAAAGGCAAGGGGATTTTGTCCGGCTAAAAACTCTTTCTCTACGATGTGCTCGTCTATTTGCGCTGAGATGTCCACAGGATTTGAAAGAAAATGTAAAGCCATTGCAACAAACACTGGGAATTAGTTACGTCACCTATATGTTTCTTTGCTCACAGCTGATTGGTCAAACTTCAGTCTGAGATCTCGAATCCAGAACTTAACCTGCC